TCACTGTAATACTGCAAACAAAGTCAATCATTATACACTTGCATATTTATAAATTATTTAATTTGTTTTACACAGAGAAAACAGTATTAATCTTTGCAGCATTTAGTGCTTTTTTACTTTCTTCATTTCTGAAAAGTACTGAAGTCTTGATTATTTTACCATGAATCCATCTTAATATTACAGTAACAGTAATAGAGCACTCTTTCTACTGAGTCAGGTGCCATGGTGGATATTTTAGAGCCATTATCTCATTTAATATACACACAAACGAAGTAAATATAATTTATAGCTTAAATGAGGAAACTGATGCTCAAAAAATACTGAGTGGCTTAGTCAAGGTAATACAGCTAGTAAACGATGGAGCTAGAATCCAAAATCAGGTTTATCCAACCTAAAATCTATACCATTTCTCCTACACTACATTGTACAGTATTAGACTGAATCTACTAAATTCTACTATTACATCTCTTATATTCATTTAAATTATTCATATTTAATGTTAAGAAGAAAACCTATATATCTATAAATGATAACCATAGCATATCAGGATTTTACTGTATATATTTATATTTTTAGCATCCAGAACTAAACCCTAATACATTTTAATCTAGGAAGTAGCGGGTTATGTTAAAATAGTAAGCCATTGTTTTAGGTTAATCGCTAAGAATTGCTCCTGAAATGATGTCTCATTCAGAGAAGGCCTGTTCAGTCCTCCTCCAGGACAATGGGCAGCACAGAGAGTGTTCGATTTAATTAGTTGTGTATGTAGAAGAGACAGTCATCTGTTTCCATGGAGTCAAACACATCACTGACATACTTCTCCATGGAAACAGAGAAAGGAAAACAGAAAATGCTAAAGTGAATGAATTCACTGAGCAGTTGGTGAACAAAGATTCAAGAAAACAAAAATTCATCTGTAGTACTATATGTCTAGTTTAGAGAAATAGCACATATTTAGAGATCATCAAACATGTACTACATAAGAGGATGTTTAAAATATATTGCAATTTTAGTTACCATTTTAGTGCAAATACAAAAGTGCTGGGAAATGCCACAGAGCAAACGTGTGACTGTATGTACACAGAAGACATAATGGAACAGTCCTTAGAAGATAAGCAGTGTTTCCTCAATCAGTAATGAATCAGGAGTGCCTTAGAAAGGATGACAGAAAACACAGGGAATCAATCTATCGATAAATTTATAAACTCAATACTGGCTTCACATCATAATTGCATTTTGGTTTTTAAGAATTTTTCTCTTTGGGGATATAAAATTATAGGAAAGTTTCAAGTTTTTTAATGAAACACATTAATTAATTTGTATGACTGAGCTGGTTAAAGTATTTTTAATCTGCACATTTTGTTTTTGTTGAAGGTTATATTTTTCATTAAAATAATGAAGAATTCATTCTATATGGTTCTTTTTCTTGAGGCAGTCTCATTAAAAAAAAAATTTCCCCCCCATGGAATTTAGTGCCAAGCTGCCTCTGAATTCAATTTAATTCAACTCAATGCTCTTTCAGTCCTGGCCCTCAAGATAATTATAGACAACCAGGGAGGAAAGATACTTAAAAATGATTATACTATTTATTCAATTCTTCCACAAATATATTTCATGTGCCTTTGATATGTCAAGTACTTTGCTGTATTTTGTGGATAGAGTGGTGCATTAAACTGACCCAGTCTACTCTCATGGAGGCTACTAGCCTGTAAAAGGAAAAGGCATTAAAATAGCCATACACATAATGTACAGTTATATAATCTGAGACAATTTCTATGAAGGAAAACTACAGAGTGTCAAGAGAGAACATCATGAACAGATTTCACTGAGATTGGAGCAGATTTCTTTGAAGAAGTGGCCATAGAGTAGAGACCTCTGGTAACTAAGAGACAGAGACCAGGAAAACAGCATGTCAAGTGAAAGCCATGAGATGGCAGGTTTGAGAAACTGAAAGAAAGCAAATTTCTCAGAAGACAGTGATGAAAAGTGAGGTTGGAGAGGAAAAGAGGTACATATAGCTTTTTAAATTTCATTATAAGCATAATGGGAAGCAATTAAAGAGTTTTGACCACAAAAATGATATCACTGTATACATCTTTTTTTTTTTTTTCAGTTCAAGTAGAAATGGAACATTTGGGAAAAAATAACTCAAAAAAGGCAAAACAAAATTCTAGCATTTAAGGGTGTATACTTATAAGTGGTAAAACAAAAATATAATGATTACTATAAAAGTCAAGATAAAGGGTAGGGATACAGCTCAGTGGCAGAACACATGCTCAACATATGTAAGACTCTGAGTTTGATTCCCAGCAAAAGAAAGAGAGAATAAGAGAGGTGGGAGGAAGAAGGGAGGGGAAAGAAGAAAAAAATTAATCAAAATCGTAAGTTACTCTAGAGGGGAGGAGAGAATGCATTAGGGACTTTTGGAGGTACTGACAATGGAGATTTCTTGACAGTGGTGGTTACATGGGTGTTTGCTTTATATTCATGTATTAAATTTTAATCTATGTGTATATATCAAAATAGCACTATATGTTTTGTTTTCTTTTAATAAAAGAGTAGATTGATGTGAAGAATTAGGGACACTGAATGCAGATGGCCTAAGAAGCTTGGTTTTGGCAGCAGATAATGATAATTGCTCTCCATCCATTCTCTAATTCTTCTTTTTAGGAACTGTGCACCCTCAGTTTTGGTTGGAAATGACACCATCTAGGAAAAGACATTTTTAAGTTTCTTCTGTCCTAGATGTGACCGTGTCTAACTCTGGCCCACCTTCTTAATGACAAATTTCTCTCTTTCTCTCTTCCTGCAATCTGGGTTTTAACTACAAAGAGAAGATTTGCCTTGAATCCAGACATGGAAGTTAAATAGATGTTGAGAATGGCAGAGCCACGCCCAGCAGCATCCCTGGTTGATTCTGTGAAACAGTGACATATATCTACCCTAGAATGCCCATGTACTTTTGAACTATTATGAGAATGAAATATTATCCTTCTGACCTCTTTAAGTCACTATGTGGCAGTGTAGATGTGTACTAATAACAGTTGTGAGGAAAAGTTGAAAGAGATGGCAATACTTAAAGTGGGATATAGGAATAGGAAAGAGATTATTAAATGGAAGAGACAATACAGCATGCTTAAAATGTTGACATGAAGAATTTAGAATAGAAGAAAGGGGAAAAAAGTTGAAACTACTGTAATCAGAAGTTTAAAAAATAGAGCAAATTTTGTGAGAAAATAGAAGGGGACAGAATACAGAGCTTGTGTGGAAGAACTGGCCTTTAAATGAAAGAGGGAAATTTATTATATTTTAGCAGGAAGTAAGAAGAGGATGTATATGGATGTAGCACTATTTGTAGACATGCTAAAATATGAGGATTCCTACTCAATGTCTTCATTTTATTTTAGGAAGCAAAAGGTATTATCTGAGAATGAAGAGAAAGGAAACTGGCAGTCATAGGCTTCAGCAGAGTGAGAAGGTACCGAATGTTTGCTATGGAGAAATGTAGCATGATGAGCATTAAGTTCTGAATACTTATTTGAAGAGGGGAATCATGAATTTGGGGCATTATGAGCAATAAGTGTTGAGTGCTTATTTGAAGTGGAGAATCATAAATTTGGCATGTTATGAATCTTCCAGCCAGGTCCAACTGCTTTGGGGTTGCCAGGAATAGATGGATTAGTTCTATCCAGAGTTGAGAGAGCAAAAGGAAGTAAAAAAGAGAATTTTTCCAAGAGGATTTTAATAACAGACCACAGAATCAGGACTGAATAGAAAGAAAGGTACAGACAGAAGCCAGTGGTCAAAACTAGAGACTAGAGATGATAATGGACCGGAAGTCTCAGAGAGGATGAGAAACTACTGTTCTCATTAGTAGATGACTGGAAGTAAAAGTGTTTTGGATGAATGGTGAAACATTCAAATGAGTGATTTGGAGGTTGTGGAAGATGTCAAATTCAGGGAGGGGCTGTGAATGTAGGTAGTTGAGGTAAAGCAGGGATGATGTCTCTGTAGAGGAAGAAAAATCTTCATAGAGTATGAGATAAATAGTTCCATTTTTAAAGGCCATTATCAGTTTGCTTAGTAAAAAAAGAAGGTAAGTTGGCAGAAGAAAGAAAAGAGGAAAAGAGGTAGATTGTGTAGAGAAAAGACAAAATTTATGGCACACTAGAAAGTAGAAGTAACTGCCAGCCTCAACAGAAGTTAGTGTACACCTTTATAAACTACTGAAGAAAGTGGAAATGTATAATGAAAACAAATTCTGAAGGAACGAGTATGGAAGTTCAAGTAGCTTGGACTTGATTTTGCATAACAAGCTGTCAGTCATGATGTCATCAGACACTGATACCTACAAAGATTACCAAAAATCTATTTCATCTATTCTTCTTGGGACTTGTAAATTTATGATTTTTATAATTCTGGAAAATTCTTAGCTACTCTGTCTTTAAATACTGCCTGTCCATCTTTCACTTTGTTCTCTCCTTCTAGAATTTCTACACTTCTATCTATCTATCCAAATAGATGAGAGGGATAACATTGAATCAATTTTAAATAATTAAAGTTTACTTAGAAACATTAGCACTTTGTCAAGTCAGAATTAACTTTGTGTATACTGCACATTAAATCTTAAAAGATCATTCTCCACTGTCTCATTCTAGATGTTTTATAAAGATGAATTAATCCCCTTTCTAATTACATATATATTTTCTTGACTCTAATAACACCTACATACTATTACTTTTTAAGAGTATCTAGACTCTCTACCAAATACATGAAAATTTCTTGAATACTTTTCACTTAATCCTACTCTATATTTTTAAGTTTCAGAATTAATTTCTTTGTTAACCAAGTCCTGGAATAAAATATAAATAATATGTTTCCATAAATAATATATTTACATCAAAATGCATCAGTACATTGCAAATTAAAGCTAAGATTAACCAACTCCCTTAAGACAAAAAATTGTTTTTACAGTTTCTGAATTTAAAGGGATTGCTTACCTATGATGAGCCTCTGAAGAGCACCCTTATCTCCATTCACTGCAGCAGCATGAACTTGTGATGCTGATGAGGAACCAGTAAAGAGTAAGTTCTCTGATCTGTTCATAGTCTTTTCAACAACCGGAGCAACCTATAACAATGATTCAGACAATGAATTCGTGCAGGAAATTATCTTTTCTTTCTTTTTTGGGGGGTATGTATGTATGTGCGTGTGTGTGTGTGTGTGTGTGCTCATTTTGGTAAAAATACATCTCCTCTCCAAAACAGTTTGAAGCTGACCTGAACAAAGAAATTGAAATATGGTGATGCTAATTTCACATGAACTTCAAGTGTATAATCTAACTGTATTTACCATCTTCTTTACTCTAAAAACCTTTGGCATTCTGGAGCTGGGGGTATACCTCAGTGGTAGAGCACCTACCTGGCATGTCGCATGTGCAAGGCCCTAAGTTCAATCCCCATCACCACCACCCCCACATACACACAGAGACACAAACAAACTGAATATCCATTTATCAATATCAAATCAATACACTTAGTTTTCTCCCTTTAGGAAGTTTCCAACCAAATCGATGTTAAATTAGGTTGGATAAAAAGCAAGGAGACTCTAGTTTCAGCCTAGAAAGAGCAGTCCCTGCCAAATCTGGCTGTTTCCTGTACCCAGAACTCAAATCAGTCTTAGTTCCCTCTAACAAGGCTGGAGCGCAGCACTAGCAGAGTTAAGGCCAATGTCACCCAAACTTGTCAGTGGACACTTCTGCACCATTCAATGCTCATGTTGATGGGTGATAAAAAGAAGCCTAGGTTTTGGAATAGCATAAACATTATTGACCTAGTAAGTATGATCAAAGTCCTGGTCTGGGATAAATGATACAAAAAAAAAAAAAAAGGAAATGAAGACCTCCAAATATTACTGCTGAGATTTTTTTTAGTTTGACTTTAAAACAGCTGAAAATGGTTTCTTCCATACAAGGAAAAGCTGTGTACTGATGTCTCTCAGAATTAATTATGTCTCCGTCTCTAACCTCAGTTTAAGTTTTTTTTTAAATATACCATTTCTATGTCCACGCCAAGGTAAAAAAGGAGTAAAGGACGAGAAGCCCTCCATCTAGAGACCCATGATAGAACGCACTCTAGAAGCCAGTGGGTATGAGCATATTTGAGTTACACAGTTTGAGACTGAGTCCACAGCAGTTTTTCTTCTATTACTGGGATATCCATCTTGGGCAGCTTGAAGGCTGTTGGATATTCAGCTATTTGGGTGGTCTGGGCATGGATCAGCTCCATGGGAGAGGACTTCTTGGTTTCTTTGTAGTTCTGGATGACAAAACCTCCGGGTGTTTTATGATTAGAGAATTTATGATGACACGAGTAGCTTTAGCCTTAACCTTGTCCATATTGTCAGTGATCCTTGAAAGGGTCATGGGGGCTGGTTTCTTTCCTCTTCCTCCTCCTTTTTTATTTTTGAGGGGGTGGGTACTGGGGATTGAACTCAGGACACTCAGCCACTAAGCCAAATCCCCAACTCTATTTTGAATTTTATTTAGAGACAGGGTTTCACTGAGTTGCGTATCACCTCACTGTTACTGAGGCTGGCTTTGAACTCCATCCTCCTGCCGCAGCCTCCTGAGTTGCTGGAATTACAGGCATGCACCACCGTGTCCAGCTTTTTCCTCCTTCCTAATGAGGTGCTGATACTTGTACTCTGGAATCACTGTTTTCCAGGGGATGCTGCCCATGTCTGATGAAGAAGGAGTGATGGGTGCAGGGTCCTTGGGACATCATCAATGCTGAATATCCAGAGACACATCTGCATGGTCAGGGACATATTGTCCACAGGCCCACTAAGTCCAAGAGCCAAGAACAGAGACACTAGGCACTTGTGGTTGTCCTGAATCATTAAAAGACTGGGATCCATATGCTTTTCCTATGTATAAGTCAGGGCTGAGACAATTCACMATAGCTAAACTGTGGAGCCAACCTAGATGCCCTTCAGTGGATGAATGGATTAAAAACTGTGGCATATATACACAATGGAATTTTACTCAGCAATAAAAGAGAATAAAATCATGGCATTTGCAGGTAAATGGGTGGAGTTGGAGAAGATAATGCTAAGTCAAGTCAACAAATGCCCAATGTTTTCTCTGATATAAGGAGGCTGACTCATAGTGGGGTAGGGAGGGGGAACAAGGGAGGAATAGATGAATTCTAGATAGGGAAGAGGGGGGGAGGAGGGAAAAGGAGGAGGCAGGGGATTAGCAAGGATGGTGAAATGCGATGGACATCATTATCCAAAGTACATGTATGAAGACACGAATTGTGTGTCAACATACTTTATATACAAACAGAGATATGTATATAGGTGTAATAAGAATTGTAATGTAAAAAAACCCAAGTACATGTATAAAGACATGAATTGGCATGAACATACTTTATACAAAGATATAAAAAACTGTGTTCTGTATGTGTAATAAGAATTGTAATACATTCTGCTGTCGTGTATTTAAAAAAATAAAATAAAATAAAAATTCAGGGCTGAGTCCCTGTCACCACAGTGAAATGATGTCATGACATGCTGTCAGGTGTTCATGAGGAACATTGTCCAGGTGCTGCAAATTAGCAAAGCTTCCCAAGAAAGTCTGATCTGCTGCCTCCAAGCTGCCTGAGGCTCAAACTCTGGCATTAAAGAGGATCCCAGGGACCACATCTCCCAAGAGGATGTGTGCAGCCCAGATCCAGCCATGATGAGAGCGGCAGCAACACTAACTGCCCCTACCACCATCTAAAGAGCACAAGCTTGCAGGAAATTTTCTGAAATCTGTCTCAACATTTTCAAGTGAGTATATTGTGGTTCACAAGAAATATTCAACTAAGATTAAAAATAACTACAGTCTTAGTCCTAGAATTACCATAATGTGGTAAATTAGGTGACTTCTACACAAATTGCTAATCTGTAAAATTGAGAGGATTGGGGTTCTTCYCAGGTCATTCTCAGGGACTGTCTGAGAAAAAACAAAAACAAAACACCCAATAATTAACGTTAGGCACAGGATTCAAAAGTCACAATGAAAAAAGAAGTCACAGTGACTTCCAAGTTAATACAGGTAATGATTCCATATAATAATAAATGTTTCAATTGATACAGGGAATCAAGCCAGAAAATGGGTATGACATAAACTTAATTGTCAAGTCAGATTTAACTAGATTTAAGCATTAAATTAAAACTACCTAGTTCTTTTCTTCATACCCACAAAAGGTGAAAAATGTTTTTTTTTCTCTTCTTAGTCCACTAGGACCTTAAGATCTTATTTTATGATTAACATATTTCATTAATGAAAATTGTCTGGCTTGTAGTCTCTTGTGGTTTTTTAAAAACTTCTGGAAGTGTATCAGTTATGTAGGAAAATAGTGAGTTCCCTATAAGAGTATTTAAACAGAGGCTGGACTATGTCAGAAATGTAGTTAAGGATTCAAGCATCTGAGAGAGAAGTAGAAAAAAGTAGGTATATCAATTATCTTAAATGTCCTTCCTTAACCTAAGATGTTCTATCAAAGTTCCAAATTTAAACACCTACATGGATCAGGGAGGTAACAAGTATAAAAATGTAGGAGTCATGGGGTTCAGGCAGAACACATATATTTGTAAAGTAAGTAGCCATTAATTAGCTCCAGTTAATTGTTTCCAGGAAGATAGGCAAGTCCTCTTCTGATTTACCATAAAATATGTCATTCTAATCTCTGTACTTCCTGTGGACCTGGACCTGGGGGTTTTTCTCCACAAACTCTGGGTTTGCTCCACAACTGATCAGCTAGTACTTGGGATTGATAAGTGCTATTTGTTCAAATTCTGCCTTAGAAATAAGATATTTTTAAAAAYTATGGTATAGGTTAGCTTTTAAAGATTTTATGTTGTTATTTGAGTTAGCATGATGGCAGAAAATATAGAGGAAGCGGGTACTGTGAGACAGTTTTCATGTTCAAGCATGTCTGTCAAGTCGGAAGAACCACTGTCATATGCAGAATTATATTAAAGTCACTTGGAAAAATCTACATAACACAGATGGAGATGGAAACATGATGGGAGAGCAGTTACTTTTGGGTTTTAGGCTTAGGTGTGTTTATAATAAGCAGCATCTCTTTAAATTTCCTCAGCTCTCTGGATTTCTCGAAAATATGAAAAGTAAAAAGGGTAGACTATGTTCATTTACTCAACAAGTTGAGAGGCAATCAGGGATTGCTTTGAACTCTCATTCCTCACTTGGATTCTAAGTGATTAGAGTTATAAAAGCCATAAAAGTTCTTTATGTACTTTGAAAAACAAATAAAAGTTAGCTTTCAGTTATATGTATTTATAAGTTTCATCTCATATTTCTTAGCATTTAGAATTTACAGGTGTATAGTTGATACTTAGTACATGTTTGTTGAATTAAAGGTTACAGGCTGAGTACTAAGTCTAAAGAGTGAGAAGGATCAAAATTTAATTTCTTGGAGTAATGAGTTCACACAAATGAGTACCTGCTCTTTTTTAATTTCCCATTTCAACTACACATGGGCTCTGTCAGAGAGGGAGGTGAGTAGCTAGTGGTAAGAGCACTGCCCTAGCAGTCAGTAGATCTAAGTGAAAGTCTTGGCTCTACCACAGTCTAATTTTGTAATCCTGGAAAAGCCATTCTTTTAGGGTACTTTTTAGCATGATTTTTTTTTTTTTTTTTTTTTTTGCGCTAGTGTTCTTTTGTAAACCATTTTTTTTTAATAACCGAAAATCAAAACCACTTACTTAAAGTGCCATAAAATGCAAGGGCATCATTAACTAATTATAAAACATGCCAGTGTAATAAATGGTGTAATAATTATAACGGTACAAAACGAGTTGTGCTGTAGTCTCACACAAAAAGAAATTCTGATTAGGAGGACTAAAAGATGGGTTCGTTGTTGACATGTCAGAGATGACAAATGTCAGAGATGATGACATTTGAGATGGAATTACAGAAAGAGAAAGAATTACAGAAAGAAATTTCCCATTTCAGGCAACAGGATAACTGGAGCAAAGGCAGGGGAGAACCATAAAACATTGAGTGCCTCCTTGGTACTTCGTGGTTATTATGTGGCTATCCTTCGGAGCTCGAGGACCGGTTTACACAAGGTGCTGGCGACCTACCGGGGCCAGGTTAACATCCTTGACTGCTTGGGTAAGGAATTTCGTAATTATTCTGTATGAGTCATCCAGGTGTTAGAAGCAATCAATCTGTCACTGAGCTTTAAGTTTACAACGTGCTTTCCTGTCCCTTACCAGATCGATTCCTCACATGAGCCCTCAGAAACAATAAGGAATAGTCACTGACTCCTAGTTCATAACGGAGGATTTAGTGCAGAAGAAGAGGAAGCAGGCAAGGAGGCCAGTGATAAAGGCTCAAGGCCACACAACTCAGGAGGGCCAAGGGTCTGCGGCAGCGGTCAGGGCGGTGCACAGCGATCAATCTGAGCTTCCCCAGCCAGGCCCCTTCCTACTCACCCTCGCCTCCTCCAGGACTGACGTCCGGGGGGCGGCTCTAGGAGGCAAGACCCTCACGGGGCCGTCCCTCTCGCCAGGCCAGGACACTACACCGCAGGGTCAGACCCCAGGGCGCTGACGCGGGAGAGCCTCAGAAGGCCGCCCGAGGGGCTCGGCCACACAGCCTTCTGGGAGCTGTAGTTCTTATGCTGAGAAGCTAGGAGGTACACACCCTCTGCCCTTTCAATCCCACAGGGCCCCGCGCGCAGAGGGCTCGGTGGGACTAGGCCGAGGGCCTACTGGGAAAGGGAGTTCCAGATGTCCGATGACTTGCTCGGCGAGGGAAGCGCAGGACTACATTTCCCGACGTGCCCCGGGGTAGGCAGGACCCGGAAGTGAGGGCGTGCGAGGCCTCTCTGGAAGTTGTCCCGGGTGTTCGCCGCTGGAGCTCCGGGTCGAGAGGACGAGGTGCAGCTGCCGGGAAAATCCTCTACTGCTGCTGGCTCCCGGAGCCCAGCCCTTTCCTAACCCAGCCCAGCCCAGCCCAGCCCACTCCCAGCCGCCAACGCCCGTCCCTGCTGCGGACCCCAGCGTTACCATGAATCCTGCCGTCTTCCTATCTTTACCCGACGTCAGATGCTCCCTGCTGCTCCTGGTGAGTGAGTGGGGGAATGACAGACCTTTCGGCCGACTCTCGGACGCCTCCCGCCCTTGCCGAGGGGGCACCACTGCTGCCCCTGCATTCATGTCTTTCTCCGATGACCAGGAGTGCACTCTCCCTTGCTGCCTTCACTTTCTCCATTTGTCTGTCGGCTCCCTAGGCCTGGGGTCCTGGAGGCCTGAGGAACCGCGGTAGGGGTTGGGACCTGTAAACAAGAGAATTAGTTCTAGAGGAGTGGTACRTGGGAGGGTCACCATGAGGAGCTCCCCTTTACCGCCGGACTGCAGGGCTTGTTTCAGTTTTGAGGGTGTGTGGACCTGGTGGAAGCCTCAGTGCAAAAGGACGGAGGATAGAACCTAGTGTATTTCCCCCCCTCCCCCTTCTCCATTTGGGAAGGCTGTGAAGCCGACAGGTGCTGGGGTCGTGCAGATCTCACTCTAGAGCCCTGAAACGGTGCCCAGGTTGGCAGAACCCTCTGTTGTGGCTTCATAGGATTGGTTGGGAACCCGGAACTGGAAACTGGTTTGGTGTCTACTGGGGAATAAAGGTTTGCAAATATGGAGAGTGTGATTATCTAACAGGCTCAACTCAAGGCCTCCTTCAGATATCTTYACAACCTCCCACTGAAGCATATTTTTTTTCTCTCTTGTCTTGAGACCAGGTCTTCTGCAAACACATGCATTCATTAACTTCCTAACCTGCTCAGTGTCATCCCATTCTATAAAGGAATCTTTCCCTAGTTCCTCTGACTCCAAAGTACATCTTGATTGTGTAACCTAAGTGACCTAGGATTTAGGTAAAATTCAGACAAAAGTGAAGGGCCAACTCAATGTGACAAAATGATGGGTGTTTAATTGGATAATTATTATAGTACAATATTTGAAACGACTTTAATTGTAGTTTTTAGAAAGCCAAATTTAAAAATGAAAATTATTGAGTAAAAACCACTTTCTTCACAATCTAAGGAACATAGTTAAGTAACCCACAGGAACTGGGGATTGAACTCAGGAGCTCTCATATGCTAGGCAAATGCTGTACCACTGACTTAAATCCATAGCCTTAGAAACAGGTTTTCTTAACTTATATTGCTTACTCCACCTTATCACAGTAAAGATTTACTATTTGTATTTGATATAGTTTTCTTTTTCTTTGTGACTTGTAAGCCATGTTTAAAAGCCATATATGGACACTACTAGGTCCCTTTCAGAGAAAGCATTATAAAAAACTAGATTAAATGGCAAAATACTTTTTTAAAAATATATTTTTAGTTGTTGATGCACCTTTAATTTATTTATATGCAGTGCTAAGAATCGAACCCAGTGCCTCACACACTTTAGGCAAGCACTCTACCACCAGCTACAACCGCAGCCCTGGCAAAATACTTTTGAGAACTCAGCACTGTATATTAACATGATAATAGTAAATGATGGTACATCTTTCTTTCTTTCCTTTTTTTTTTTTTTTTTTTGTACCAGGGATTGAATCAGGGCCCTCGACCACTGAGCCACAATCCCCAGCCCTATTTTGTATTTTATTTAGACACAGAGTCTCACTGAGTTGTTTAGCGCTTCACCATTGCTGAGTCTGGCTTTGAACACATGGTCCTCCTGCCTCAGCCTCCCTAGTTGCTGGGATTACAGCAAGTAGCTATCTTTTGATGATCTCAAGAACATCTTAGAACATACCACTTTATGCCTGAAAATCCTTTCTGGATAAATAACTGAATACAAAAGTTCAGTGTGATAACTATTTTCTGTGCTTTGATGTATTTTAAAATATATTCATTCAACCTTTTTACTTATTTTTGTTTCTGAGATAGGTTTATTCAGGGTTGAGAGTGATCATCTTCAGCTTTATTCTTAATATTGTTCTTTCTGCATTGATTGTGTACAAGAGTTTTGGAAATAAGACTACATTGGAATGAAGTTGCATCATATATCCTAAGTAACCTCTTCTATGGTTCAAAGTAGCAATAAGATATACCAGCTAAATGATGGTATATCTTATTGCTACTTTTCATAAGTATACAACAATGAATGATTTCTGCATAGAGAAGAATATTCTCTGTAGTGCCGCAGTCTGGCTGGCTGGGCAAAATAGCCGGGGAGTGATGAACAACTTGTGTAGATTGATACAGCAGGAGAGGGAGCCGTTTATTGTAGGACAACAGAGGTATTTATACATTCCACACAGCTTATCTTAATTAACATAAAATAGATACAGCAGTCAACCAATAAGAAATCTCCACACTTAATGGCTCCCTGGCGTTACTTCACAAACCACTCCCTCTGGCAAAATGCCAGGCGCCATCCAGACTTGTTTACAGACTCTAACACTGTAGTGCTTTATTATTATTTGGTGATTTTTAAAAATATACTGTGATTCTTTATTCCTTCTAGAAATGTTGCAACAATACAATTATTAGAGACCTATTCCTCCTTAAGGAACTAGATACTAATCTTTTTCTTATCTATAAAATGACTTAAAATTGTCTTATAAATTATTTTAAAGTTCCTGAAAAGTACAAAGGGCAAAAATCTTAAGACATTGGCAAGAAAAGTTGAAACATTGAATACGAAACCTACATCAGAAACACTTTCCTCAAATAATATTCTTTGGTTGTCCAGCTAAGTTAAATGAAAAAGAATTTATTTAGAAATAACTCATGCTTTTCCTAGAAAACCTACCAACCCTGTTAAGTATATAAAGGAACAGTTTTTTTCCAAATAAAATCTCGGTTTAATTAAATTTTAGTTAGCATTTTGTATACCTTTTTAAGCAAATGTAGCAGATATTTTAGAGAATACTTGTAAAAGTTAATGGGCTGGAAAATAAAGCCCCAGAAAAGACTTAATAAACCAGAATTACAAGTCATACTAGATTTAGTTTGAACACAGTGTTTACCTACTTTAATAATTTCATACTACTTAACAAATGTTTATAAAATGTCTATCTAATCACAACTCTAATTACCTGATGATTCTGTCAAATGATGGAACCTGCTTAGTCAGTGTTAACCTGTTTAATAAATATATTCTTTATCTTACCCAATGTACTTTTTTAAACATTCTCCAACTACCCCTCAAGTCATCCTTTTTTTCCTGTATTTCCTGCTGTAAATAGCCATATATTCTCTTTCTACAGTTAAGTTTTTTTTCAGGCATTTTATGCATCAGCTCTAAAGAACTAGATCTACTTAAGTTAGTAACATTTGTACAATAACAGCTGAAGCACAACCTAAGCTTTTGGAAGCAAGTAGCTATCTTTTTGCTGATCTCAAAAACATCTTAGAACATACCACTTTATGCCTGAAAATCCTCTCTGGATAGATAACTGAATACAAAAGTTCAATGTGATAACTATTTTCTGTGCTTCGATATATGTTAAAATATATTCATTCAACCTTTTCTACTTATTTTTGTTTCTGAGATAGGTTTATTCAGGATTGAAAGTGATCATCTTCAGCTTTATTCTTTGTATTGTTCTTTCTGCATTGATTGTGTACAAGAGTTTTGGAAATAAGGCTACATTGGAATGAAGTTGCATCATATATCCTAAGTAACCTCTTCTATGGTTCAAAGACTTTTAGCACTCTGCTCCAGTTGCTTTATTGAAGATATTTTCTCAATATCTTGATAAATGTGTTTATATATAGTAGCCCTAATTGCTCATGCCTGAATACTTAAGACTTACCATTGTTGCTCCTGGTTTGTTCAGTGTGCATAGGGAGCTGGGACAAGTTGTTTAGTTTAGGAAATTAAGTGAATTAGAGAGCTAAGTAAACATTTGTTTAATTAAAATTCTGTGTCTTAAAAGTAAATACAGTAGAACTCAAAAGGTGTCATTTTTTAACCATCAATGCCAATAAGTACAGTTTCCAATCTTCAAGAAAAGTATTTCAGGGGACATGTAGTTCATTTTATAACTAAGTGAGTTATTTATCCTGCTGATATAATTTCCTTCATAACAGTGGCTTATAATACCTGACTTAGGATCACCTGGGACAATTTTAATGAAATAATATCAGGGTGGAGCTCAGTGGTAGAATGTGTTCAGTTTCCAGCACTGAAAAACAAAACTGAAAATATCATGGCCCTACACCAGATCAGTTATRTCTGTGGGACCCAGGCATTAGTTGTATGGAGAAAATTTCCTGTAATATCATTACCACATTTTGAAAAATTAATCAAATATTTTGTTAGTGTTTGGATTTTCCTGATTATGTCCATTTTTTAAAAAACAGACTGAGCAGGGATGGGGTTATGGCTCAGTGGTAGAGCGCCCCACCTAGCACGTGTGAGGCGCTGGGTTTGAATCTCAGCATCACATATAAATAAATAAAAAATAAAGATATTTACTGTCTACCTACAACTAAAAAAATAAAATTAAAAAAAAAAAAACAGACTGACCAAACCAGGGGCCATGTAAAGTGTATACATTCCAATTGATTGATGTCTCTCTTATGAAACATTTTTTTTTTTTGGTTTTAAAAATTGAACCAGGGGCCTT